CATCCCAAGAGGAAACTGAGGCGGCTGAATCTTGTGGTCGCAGATGGCTTGGGGTGGCAAACCTGGCGGATGAAGAGGAGCTGCGATCGCGATCAGTACGACTGTCACCTCGGTAGCCACGACTGCTTCGACCTGGAGTCTCCGATTCCCATTCTTTTTCACGCCTTTTCCGGGCACTCTCGCGTTCGGCGATATCTGGGTACTTTCTGTGATGGTCGTCTTCTATTTCCTTGCGTTGTTCTTAATGCAAAACAGTAGAAAAACTCAAAAAGAGGAAAATTGGGACAGCTTTGAAAAACCTCAGTGCGACAAGGTCGGAATCTAAGAGTTTACCTTGAAACCATGCTTTGTTAGTTTTATGTCGTCAGAAAGACGTAAAAGCACGGGGGTTGAGACTAAAAGTATTAATTCCCTATACCTTTGGCAGGAGGACGAAGACACAAAACGCAAAACTGAAGCCCATCCCTAAACCGAGCCATATGCAGAAGACCTACCAAGACAGGAGTCACTATCCAATTAAGTTCAGACCCGAGTTAGGGGGAAGATGTGGCAATATGGCCAACTACTGAGTGACTACCACATCTAAAGGTCCCTAATACAGTTCCCCATCCGATAAGGTGTTGGAACACTAAATATAGCAGTTCAACTACCAGAGAAGTGAATAGATCATTGTTTTTGATCTGTTCTTTGTAATAGCGATCAGATTTGGCCTTAACTTGCACTTATTTTGTTATCTTAAAATTGGACAGATCAGGTTAATTCAAGATTAACTTCCGATTACTGAGACGTAACAGAAGAGTCAAGATAATAAACTGTCGAATAACTGGTAAATTTGGTTTATTTTCATCAATTAATTGCAGAAATGCAAAATGTTTCGGGACGTTTACACAATATGAAATCATGTTTTGCAAAACTGGAAGCAAACAAACAGTAAAGGCTATTGAATAGTGTGACCTTGCGTCTTAAATGGCATAGAGTTGTCATAAACACAACCTATGCGAATATATTTCAAAAACAGGGAGAAATTTCATGCTGAGATACTTCGATAGAGACGATAATGCGAAGCCAAAGCGTGGCGAGCTCTTTTAAAAATATTTAACGATTGAAACTTAAGGGTCGGCGTATGGATCTTAGTGAAACTATCTCTGAAGAAATGAGCAAAGACTATGAGTGAAAAATGTTGATGTGGATTCGAGTCCCACCTAAATCATGATTTACATAGGTAGGACGTGCAGTTGGCAATAGACGGGGTGCCTATTGAACACTCACATGTGGCCCATCTTAGGTAGGGTAATTCGACCCTTCCGG